AGAAAAGTGTGAAGTAGTTCCTTCCAGAAAGTAATTATTGTCTTTTAAATTTATTTGAAATATTACTTTTTTTGGAGGGGTGTTAATCCTCCCCCTAGGATATTTTTCAATTGATCTCCTGGGGATCGGCCTGCAACCTGGCCATGTATCCTTGACTGAAATTGAACCTGGGACCCTTCAGTCTGCAAGCTGACGCTTTAGCCACTGAGAAACACCAGCCAGGGCTATTCTGAAATATTTTAGATCAGCAAACACATAGCTCATGCAGAACTATTGTTTTAAGTTGTGGTATTTTTTCTACTTATATAGTGAAGTTTCTTTAGAGAGGGAACATTTTCTTAATATATGACTACATGTGAAAACCATATGGCAATGGAAACACATTTGTGAATTTATGATACATATGCCTGCTGTTTGCAAAACAAGTTATTTTGAAATAATGGGAGGCTTCTTTCAGTCACAGATGCTTTTACAGTTATGTTTAAATATTAGTTATTCCTTATAATTTTATCACATTATGGACTACGTTTTTGTCAATGTACCTTTAGAGGAGAATAACTTCATAGATTTCTTGTCTCTTCCTTTTTTCATTACTTGAAGCGTACTGAAGGAATGTAACATGAATGGCTATTAGGATGTCAGAAGCACTGAATTCTCAAATATACCAACTGCCTTTCTAAGTTACCTAGTTCTTTTTTCCAAACTATTGTTTTATGCTTTGCTTCTAATTTGTATAATTCTAAAGATCCCTGTGTTATAAATTATATTAACCTTTAGGGTTTTTATTTTTTGTTTTAAAGTTGAAGAAAACCCAGAAGGTACCATTTCTGTGAACCAAGTTAAACAGGAACCCAAAGAACCAGCTTTGTCTATGGAAGCAAAAAAAAATTTTGGACTATAAGAAATTATCTGCTACATAAATTGTTGAAGCTTTTCTGAACTGTACAACTCTGGTGACCTCTGATGTCATAGAAAAGAAGGTGAATATTGTCAAACCTCAGCAATGTGATAAGTGGACTGAAGACTGGGTTGATGAGTAGCTTTTATTTAAAACTGATATTTGTTGCCAATTTTATATTTTTACTTTAAGAGATATTTTACACTTCTTATTTTGTATAATTTTTATGCTTTTGGGTATCTGATAAGGCCAGTATTTCAAAAGACTATCTGAACTTATCCATGGTAATATAGCTTGAACACAAATAGTTATCTAACGTATTCCCTGGAAATACCTAATTTTGGCTCTTAAAAAATGAAAAAGAACAAAAAACTTCGTGTGTGTGTGTGTGTGCGTCTGCCTGCGTCTGCGCGTGCGCGAGCGTATGTGATGCTTTTTAAAATTTCTAAAAGAACTTATTCCCTCTTTTAAAGTTGTGAAGAAATGTTTTAAATTGGCAGATAGGTGAGAGAAGATTTGTAGTCTCTCATTTGGAAAAATAAACAATAGATTTTACTTCATAACACGAAGCCCAGCACTCACATCTGTGGAAACTGTGTATAGTTGCATTTTAGCGTCTTTCATTCTGATTTTTATACTTGTAACTCAAACCAATAGCACACTGATGGTAATCTAGTAGAAATTTATAGGATCTTGGTAAGTACTGAGAATTTTAACTTGAATTAGTCAGATAAGCAACAGAAATTAATGTATATTACATGGATTTATGCAGTATTGTAATACAACTCTACCTATGGGTAGAAAAATGTAGAAATGGAAAGAATTCTGAAAGAATAATAGAATTCCATGGTATTTACAGATAATTTGGGGAACTTTTTTATATCAGCAGAGGATTCCTTCCTATTTTATATTGAAGATTCAGCTCTGGTTAGGAAAGGATTTGAGTTGTATTTATTTTTTTATGCCAAAGTTTTTACTGAATTGATGGTATTAGAATTTATAGTACTGAAAGGTAAATATTAATAGTTTAAAATTTAGTTTATATTAAAACTAAAACAACTTATGTGTAATATATATTTGCTTGTTGAGTAAGTATATTTACTTCAAATATTCAATATAAGCTTCTGTTTTCTGTAAGGTCAATTATAACTATCAAGAAATCAACTTAAAGACTTGTTTCCTTCAGAGACCATCTCTGGATATATTTAAAAGTAATAAGATTTTCAAATGGATTTTAATGTTTAACACTTAAAGCATGTGCAATATAATATGGAATTTAACCATAATACTTTATATGAATATGAATTTTCTTTCCTTTTCTAAGTCCAATCTCCCATTTTTAATTCACTTTAATAGTTTCAGGTTCACAACATGTATAAGTATAAAGCACTGTTATATTAGAAGTGGGTGGAATTTTAAAATTCCTTGCTGTTTAGATTTGTATCCTATTTAATATAAAATTTATTATTTAAACCCCTATTTAATGCAAAATTAATACTCAATTACATATATAATTTTAATAAGACTTATCATTTTCCTAATAAATGAAAATATTTGATACCAGCATTTATAGATAGGCTGCCTGATCTGTTATGTTATGCTAGTTAAACACAACTGTTAGTTACCTCGAACCCAGATTTCTCTTAGTCTATGTGTACTAAGGGAATAAGTCCAAATTAATTTATAGTTTAGTGTTCCATTGTAGGTAGTGTTTTTTTTCATTTGTTATTTCTACTTTTTATGGAACATTTTTGCAATATTTTATATAATCTTCACCTTTCATTAATGATAATAATTTATTATTAAATATTTTACCAATTGAACTGTATTTCTTTGGAAACATTCCTTTATTTTTTGATGTTGAGTTGCTAAGGAGAAATGCTTGTTAAGATACAAACTCTAGTCAGTTCTGGATGAGGATGAGAGATGTCCAAGGATTCAGAGTTAATCAAGAACAAAACATAGTTTAGAAATATTTCTCTCACTTTATTCTCTGTGAATGTCTTTTTTTTAAAAAAAAATATTGTTATTGATTTCAGAGAGAGAGGGAGAGGGAGAGAGAGATTGAAACATCAATGACGAGAGAGAATCATTGGTCGGCTGCCTCCTATATGCCCCCTACTGGGGATCAAGCCCACAACCCAGGCATGTGCCCTGACCCAGAATGGAACTGTGACCTCCTGGCTCATAGGTTGGCGCTCAACCACTGAGCCATGCTGGCCGGGCTGTGAACGTCTCTTCTGATACTGGTTTTTTTTTCTCTTTTATTATGAGGATAGAAAGTTACTGTGCATTCTCCCCGCAAACAAAAAAACAAAAGAAAAGAAAAGTGGATGAAGGAAGTTTAAATTCCTAATTATATACTCTTTTGGTTTTTAGGTAGAAACTGGAACTATCAATATTTTCATGTAAGTATTTCAATGAGTAGCTCTTTAAAAATGGTTTTTAAATTAGTTTTAAAAAGTTCATTTGTCCTCTAAATGCATATTCAGTCACAATATATCAGTATTGTATTATAAAGGTGCTTAGTATCACTTTTTTAAAAGTATGTTTACATATTTTAAATATTCAGTTATCTTTTAAATGTGCAGGGTGTTGAATACAAGTGCATAAAATTTTCGGTATCTTTATTTGGCATTCTCCTAACAGCTCTACAGCAAAGTTGGACAAATGCTCTTTTGTGTCGTATATCACAAGGTCCAATATCTGAAGTAGTAAGTTGGACATTCAGAATAAGCACTTAGAAATTCATAATTACAGATGAGCTTGTTTCTTCATTGTAGTTTTTATGTCCCAAGTCTCCAAGTGAACTTTATATACACTACAATGAATTATAGATAAACACAGCTATGGTGGGCATTTTCCTAAACACTGATTTTCTATGTAAGCAGTTAACTTACTTAAAAGAAAAAAATGTGTATGCTTATACCAGGTAAATATTTTCTAAAAGTTACAAAAGTAATGGAAATCAGATTTTGGGGTCTGGTCCTGCATTAAAGTTTCTAATTTTGAGGTTCATCAGCTTGTATTTCATCTTTATATTCTGTCAAAGACATACTTAATCATGTGAGTATGAGAAAGTTGTCATTTAATTTGTGCCAGGATTTTTTAAAAAAGTTTTAAAAGTGTGTGTGTATATATATATGTATATAGTAACTTAATGTATAGTGTCCTTGTTATAATGTAATTTTTTCATTAAAATGCTGTGCTTTTTTTCTTAAACTTGTTAGTTTTCTTTTTATACTTTGGGGATAGTGGTGGTTTTGTTCATTTTGAAGCTGCTGAATAAATACTTTAATATCTGAGAATTTTGGTAGTAGATTTATGTTCAATTTGGAATCTGAAAGTTTTTAAGCATAACTACCAGTGATAACTGTTATCATTACATTTGGGGAGATTTTATATACATATATCTGGGGAGATTTTATATATATATATATTACTCTCAGCTCAGCCAACCATCAACATTTTAAAACAATGTGCAAAGTAAGGCATTAGTAATTCCTTTTCCCCACATTTTGGTGCTGTGACATTCTCAAGTATAACATTATATTTTTTGAGTAATGACAGAGTATGCTATTTAAAAAGGAGGTAGCATTAATTTTCCCCTGTATGCTTTTATCTCCCCATGATTCCACTCTGCCTATTTTTCAGGATCATAGAAAATCTTTCTCCCTCCAGAAGGTTTACTCTTTTTCATCAGCTGATTTAGGCTTTAGACATTTTAAATGGTGTATTGTTTTGATTCTAAATACCTGCATTTCTACTTAATTAACATAGTTGTAATGGCAAAGCCTTAGTATTTTGCCACATATATATTAACTATGAATTCTGTTTTTAAATAATAAAAATATTTGTTATTGAGTGAATTGTTAAAACTTCAGGAATAAAACCAGAATTTAAAAAAAAACTCACTTATTAATGAATCCTGAACTGATTCTTGAGAAAAATTAATAAATTGTATGGTTAATATGGAAAACCTTTGAGAATGTGATATGGGTGTAAGATTGCAGGAGAGATGTTGTCTAAGGGTACAAGCTTACAACCAAACTCCTGAAGATCTAATGTACGGCACAGTGATTATAGTCAACAATACTGTGCTATAACTTTCAAAGCTGTTCAGAGACTAGATATTAATTGTTCTCACTACGAAAAAAAATTATGTGATGAGACAGAGGTATTCACTAACTATGATGGTAATCATATTGTCCTATATAATAAAAGCCTAATATGTTAAGTGTTCAGTCAGCCATTCAGCCAATCAAAGTGTAATTGCTAATGATAGGGGGCAGATGCTCCAACCAGTAGGTTAGCTTGCTGCTGGGCTCCGGCCAATCGGGACTGAGCGAGAAGGGCCAGACACGCCCTGGAGTCCTCCTGCAGTCCCTCCCCAGCTGGCCAACCTCCCGCGTCTCTCCCTGGCCCTGATCGTGCACTGGTGGGGTCCCTCTGCCTGGCCTGCACCCTTTCGCAATCTGGGACCCCTCCTGGGATGTCAGAGCCGGCCAGGCCAAGGGACCCCACTGGTGCACAAATTCATGCACTGGGCCTCTAGTGATACATAAATTAAAAAATCAGTATATTATATACCTTAAACTCAGACAATGTTTTATGTTAATTATATCTTCATAAAAAATGAATTCTAAAACCAGAGGGAAAAGGGGGAGGCAGATACCGGCAGTTTTTAATTTAAATATCTTTTCTGAGGTATAATTGAAATATAATAAACACATATTTAAAGTGTACAATTTGGTAAGTTTTTTAAAAGATATATTTTATTGATTTTTTACAGGGAGGAAGGGAGAAGGATAGAGAGCTAGAAACATCAATGAGAGAGAAACATTGATTGGCTGTCTCCTGCACAGCCCCTATAGGGGGTGTGCCTGCAACCGAGGTACATGCCCTTGGCCAAAATCAAACCTGGGACCCTTCAGTCCGCAGGCCGATGCACTATCCACTAAGCTAAACCAGCTAGGGCTATAGTTTTATTTTAATTTAAAAGTGACCAAAGAAATAATGGAATAAATACATCTAGAAATCAGAGAAGATATCTGGGCTGGGGATAGAAATATGTTGGTCATTTGTTTGTAGGTTGGAGTTAAAACTCTAGGTGTGCTTGAGATCATTAGGGGACAGCACATGGAGTAAGTATTAAAGAGCACTTAGGCCCTGACCGGTTTGGCTCAGTGGATGGAGCGTCGGCCTGCGGACTTAAGGGGCCCAGGTTCG